AGCAAGGTGATTGCGACAAAGTCTTGCTTTATTTGAAGTAAAACATCCTGATGTTACTTGTGCAATAGCTAAACCTCTGACCCTTTGCATACAACAAATGCAAACTGCCTTTGCATTTGATTTATTTGTATTGTCCTGTTTTAATGCCAATGTCTATTTAAATTAATAATAATAATTAAAATTTTAAATTTTAAATTAGCCAATTTATAATCTATATATACAGAATAAAATTTACCTCTATACCCAGGGTGTAAAAAGTAAGCCAATATATAAGGATCGATTTGAAATTCACCCCATCTTTTATTAAATGCACAAATTGAATGTCTTTTTAATTCAATCATGTTGCCAACATTAATATTTTTTAATTTAAAAGCAAGACGAATCATTTGTATAAATACATCAGCTAGAGTTGAATTATCACTTTCTAAGATTTTTATAGTGTTTTTAATTGGCAATAATATTTGAGACAATGATGCAACTTCTTCAAAAAACCCTTGCTTTTTCAATATTTTTTTGACTGGTCTGCTTTTAATTTCATCAGGATACTTAATAACTACCTAATATTTTAAATAAAAAATGATAAAAATCTGATCATCTAATATAATCAATATATTGCATAATAAATTATTAAATAAATACTTCTTCTAAAGCTTGATGCATTCTTACAATTGAATTTGTTGATTCAAAAATTGATATCCATCTTGTCTTAATGCAAGTTTTGAGACCGCCTCCTTGAATTGAAAAGTAACTGGCTTCATTCATCAGCAAGTTTTGACAAATGTGAGATTTTTTGAAATATTTAATTATAGTTGAGCATTTTGAAAGTATATTAGAAGCCTGTTCATGATCTAATAAAAAAAAATTGAGGCATTAAAAAATATTAATATTAAAAAAATAATAAATATTAAAAAATTGTTACTCACTAATAATTGATTTGGTAATCAAGTTCACAAAATGAGCTATGCATCTAAGATTTATTATAGATGGGTATTGTTTAACAATTATTTCACGTGCAAGCTTAACATTAGCACCATTATCTGATACTATGGCTTTAAATTTATCAACTCCAATTTTATTGATTACTGTTTTAATTTCTGCTGCCAAAAATTGACCAGTATGGTGAGAGCTGGAGTAGTCACGAAGACAATATAAATATTGATTTTTTTGTGGTGTTAAAATGATAAAATTGTATATGGAAAATGAACCAGGAGATGACCACCCATCCAATGCTGAAAATATATAAATATATATAAAAATTCATAGATATGGGTTAGATATAAAATATTAGTGCACCAAATAAATTATTATTTTACAATCATTTACCAAGAGTAAGGTTTTCTCCAACTTCTAATTCTTTATCAATTCTACTATTTACTCTAGCAATTTCTTTGCTCAACAAGTTTCCTGACAATGTTTGACGTGTTGGAGGAGAATAATTTGGTCATAATTCATGTAGAAGTTCTTTAAAAAATGGGTTATTAATGACATTAAATGAAATTCCACATCCAACAAATGCTTTTACCAATGCTGTGTTGATTGCATCCTTTTTTGAATCTGTGAGTTCTTTGCCCTCATAAAAATCTTCAATCCCTTGCTGCCCATCAAGTTTTTTTCTTTTAAATGAATTAGTTGACTGAATTGACATTCTTGAATTTGATGACAAATTATCATCAACTGACATATTATCATTTGTTGATAAAACTCCAAGATAAAAATTACGTATATCATTAGGACATTCAACACAATCATTAGATAGATGTGCTTGTAAACTTTTCACATATGCTCTACCCCAATTACGATTGCAAAAGATACATTTAGCAGAAAAATGGCCAGCTGATTTAAGTGGTGTTTTAGTAAAAAAATTCCAAACTTCATTGAGTTTTCGTCCTGAATTGCTGTTATTTTGTTTAGACATTCAAAAAATATTAGCTATCCTTGTTTGTTATTTATTATTATCGTCTTAATTATTATAATTATAATTATTATTGTAATGGTGTAGACCTTAAGAATATTTTGAAAATTGTGATGTGCTTTAATTATTATTACTAGATTAATTATTGTATGGAAGTGTGAAAATTGCAGTGCTTATAAATTACCTTAACTAACTTAATTATTATTATCTTATCTTAATTAATTATTATTATTCTTAACTATTTTAATTATTATTATCTTACTATCTTAATTATTATTATCTTAATTTTTTGTTATTTTATTATCTTAATTATTTTTAATTATTTGTATTTTATTATTTTAATAAGTTATTATTATAATTATTGTATTAATTAGAATATTTATTATTTAGAGAAGTGGTTGTTGGTGAGCGTGAGTTTTTTTTCATATTTATTATGATAATCTTTACCAAATATGGAATTTCGGCATTTCGGCACATTTCTGCACATTTCGGCATTTTCAATTTCGGCATTTCGGAAACAATTCGACATTTCGGAAACAATTCAGCATTTCGGAAACAATTCGGCATTTCGGAAACAATTCGGAGTACAACCACTAATCCGAAATATTTCGGAAATCAAAAAATAGTTACAGCTAACAACTTTAATCCAAACTGTCTTTGTTGTATAGTAGCATTGGGAGATTTCAAAGGTGGTGAATTATGTTTCCCTCAGCTCAAGATT